TTTGACTTTAGAAGATCATAACCTACTAATTTAAAAACTCCAATTAATAGTTTTAAAATGATTTATGATTCTTGATAAGGATTAAAAGTATAAATATTTAAATTTTTCTAAAAATTACAAATCCACCCATTAAGTTTTAAGCACCCATTAAGTTTTAAGGGTTTTAAGGGCTTGGTAGTGAATAGGCTTAATCAAAGTCTTGCCTAATGAGGTTTAGAAAATGAACTATAATTAATTCCAAACATCTTTAAAACACTACAAACCCATCTTTGAAAATCAAACCGACTAAGTTTCTTAATTACTAAGTTTCTTAATTTTGCCCCTAAGGGCCTTTAGCTGCATAATTCGTAAGTGAAACATGAAATGATAATTATCCCATTTAAAGGGATAATCAAAACATCAAGGTTCATTGAGCATAAGAGTATGAATTGGATGAACCACATAGCAACATAATAAGACCAAAATGAGCTCGAGACCATTTGAGGGACTGTGAAATGTCTAGGGTATTAGCCAAGCCCTTTTCATGATCCTTTGGGAGTCTCGGATGACACTTGGACATATTATGATTTTCTCGATGGAAACATCCCCACAGATGAACGAATTGGACCCACCAGGGTATGACATATGGTTTGGTAGACCCACCTCAAACATGTACTCTGCTTTTCCTACAAGCATGTTTTAATTCCTGCAAAATTATATATAAGCATTGCAAATACTGACCTTTTAAGTGGAGGAACGAGAAGAATCGACAGATACACTTTTAAGTTATTGCATTGTAATTTACTTTATTTACCTTTCTGTTCCTCTCGTTTCCTACCTATAAACTTGCTTGTTAAACAACAAGGTCACCCTGCATGTCAAAACTGAAACTTTTAGGATAGCCACGGAATTGAAACCAAAACCAAAATTAAGAAATCAAAAAAGATAAAATTTACCGTCACAACAGTCAAATATAAAATAACTCAAAATTTAATCACAAACAAAACAACAAAACAAAAATTGCAACTAAATTAAAATATCTCTATTAGATGATCGGGAATCCCTCGAAGAAGGTAACCTACGATTGTTAATGAGATTTCCCATGGTCTAAATGAAAGTATGGAACTCATTGAGTTAAGTTTAATAAATTCATTTATAAATTCATTTAGTTTAATAAATTCATTTAGACTAAGTGAATCTGAAGAAAATAGTGGTTTTGGAACGAGGGAACCGTGGGATCTTAACCAGTGTTGCCTAAACAACTTTAACTTCTCCCATAATAATTGAATTTAACTTGTCATTTAAACCTTTAAACCTTAGACTTTAGGATTGTCACTTTGTCGAGGAGCTTGAAGCTAGCTTTATGGGAAGCCTTCTGCAACAGCATGAGGAGCTACAAGAACACATCTTTCCTTAGAATTAAACAACAAGCCATAGGACTTCGAGGTTGTCCGCCTAGTGCAACACAAATCCTTAACTTTTTTTAGGCCTTTCAATGACTCTGCTATAAAATTTAAGCCTTAACATATTTTAAGATTCCGAGGTTATCGTTCGTCACAACCTAAATCCTCATATCTTTCAGGCTATTTGTGTGATCGTCTCGCATGAATGTAAGCCCTAATTAAAAAATTGGCAGGATGACACACATAATTTCTTCTTAAAGTTGAAGCCGAACCATAGTATAGCTTGGGAAGTCACAGATGTTCTCCTCAGGATCTGTGATATCCCCTAGTTCTTCTTCCTTTGGATTCCAAAATAAACTTTCCAAATTTGAGTCGTTCCCCTTTCACACCTCTTTGTTCGATCTTTTGAAATGTCCTATCCTTTAAAATCCTTGAAGACAATATCCCTTGATTTTTATTGAGAGTTTCTTAGGTGACTTCGGTTATCTAAGATCTAATTAACTATAGGGGCTTGCCCTGATAGGAAACTTTCAAGAACCCAGTTTAATATAAACCCTATTTAATTTTTCGTATTAAATAGGGGAACTTGTTAGAAAACATAAAAAAATGATTTTTAGCTGACTTAAATGGATGTCATAATTTTTTTAGTTTATTTAGTCGAGTCTTACCCGTCAGTAGTGTGTCTACCTTTTGGGATAGATGCATTGCTTGCGGTATTATGCTCATTTATTTAAACTATTGAGGATATGAGATCGGATATCCATTCCGGCGACCGACAACTCCCAATTTGGCGACCGACACTTTTAAATCAATAAGATAATAAATGAATAACTATAATATACATATAAATGCTCAAAATAAATGAAAAATTAAACAAAAGGTCTTTATCTTATTTTATGTACTACGAATTAAATAATTAATTTAAATGAATTTTCAAATTAAGCTTTAATTGAGTTTATTTATAGGTTATAAATTAAGTTTTAACTAATCATATTCATAAGTACATTATTTGAGCTTATTTGCAAGCTTATTCATGATCTTTAAATTAATCTATTCATTGAGTTTTTTAATAAATTTATTCTCAAACTTTAAGTGATTATATTCACAAACATAACAGATCGAACTCAGAGTAGTGCAAACTCATTCATTTAACAATCGAGCATTTGTAAATGTGCTCAAAATTGTTCAATTAGTTAATCAAACGAACGTGAATGAACTCTTATTGAACCAAGTTATAAGTGGGTTATCAAATACATAGTTTGTTTACAGAATAAATGGTAAAGGTTTAATATCAACAATGCTCTTAGAGCTGGAAAAGTATTAAACTGAAAGGAGAAAGCTTTAACAATGATGATAGAGAGAGAAAATGATCGACAAGAAAAACAAAAAAAAGAGATTTACATATGTTTCACCATTCTTATGTATAAACATATCAACCCCCTAAACTTCAATTTTTATCTACAGATCACCCTACATATGAAAAAACATAGGATTTGGGTGTTATTTATGTAAAAAATGAAGCTTCACTATTAATATTGTTATTATGTGGAGCTTGATTGTATGGATCAATTGTCACTCATAGCCCTCAATTTGATCAATCAAACTTGACGATGTGTTTGACAGGGGGTATAGAGGGTCATGTCCCCTTTATTGAGCTTAGGGGTGTTACGCCAAAAAATTATATCAAAAGAAACTATATGTGCCATTAAATTGAATTAAAAAAAACTTATAATCGATGAATCTGGAGGAATGGAAAATTATTGATACAGCAATCCTAGGCTTGATTTGGCATTAACTTTTCTCATATGTTAACATTGTAAGAAAAATATTATTGTTGATCTTAGGGATGCACTAACAAGAATGTATGAGAAGTCTTCAAATTTTAAAAAAAGTTTTTCTAATTTCAATATGAAGATGATGGATGGTAATTCAGTGGTCGAATACTTCAAAAAATTTAAAACTGTGAGAAACTAGTTGCATTTTATTGGCAATGATTTCCAGTGACTAACTATACGGGGGTCGTGGCCCCCTTAATAAAGAGATCAGAGCATAGTTACTTTTTCTTTCATTGCCAGATAGTTGAAATTAACTAGTTACTGTGTTGAGTAGCTCTTCAGAAAACATAAAGTTAAACTTAGATCATATTAAGGCGAGCGGTGAAACTTTACATTCTACTTTACAAGTTGATATTAGAGGAAGAAATATAGATGAAAATACAACCAGGAAAAGAATTAAGTTTCGGAGAGGAAAGTCTAGATTAGGGTGAGAGAAGGTAGGAGTGAATGTTGAAACTATTGAAAGAAAGATCACATTAAAAATTATTACAAGCTTTAAAGAAGATTAGTGGTAGAGGTTCAAATAGAAAATGTTTTATAAATGTCTCTATAGATAAAATATAATTTTACTCCCTTATTTTATCCCTAAATAGTATTGAATCATAGATGGTAGATCCAAGTGTCTCTTTTCATGTTAACTCTAACAAAAAGGTGTTCAAAAACTACACACAAGATGACCTAGTGAATGTAAAACTTGTAGTATTATTAGAATGGGTGCATATGTGGTTGCTAAATAGATTACTGTGAAAATAATGAAATTATACATGCTCCATATATAAAGAAACTAAGGTGAATAGCATGTTGACTACTTTCATAGAAGATTAATTGAAGGTGATTAACAGTACAAGAGTCATTGCTTGAGGCAATACTGAAGACACCATTTATCTGAAGACACCAAATTGTATAGAGGCTTGTGTGTTGTATAGTTTGTATGATTTTCCTGACTTTTTTATAGTGAATTTTTCGGTGTGGTGCGGTTCCATAAATTTTCACGTTCTCGGTTTCTTTCCATGGTAAATCATATGTTTTCTATGATTTTCATGTTTTAATCGCTTCTTTTCAAAATTTCTTTTGAATCTATCGAATTAGTTTTCGTGATTTTATCTCCCAATAGATCTGTTAATACATATGAATAAAGTGACAGTATGTAAATGCCCCAAAAATTTATGAGTTCAATTGCATGTCTGAGTTTAATTTTATATGAATTTCGACAATTTAATCCAACTTGATTTTTCCTAAATTATTGAATCATGGAAGGAAACATTAATTCTACTGATAAATAATACATTTTTCGTAGAATAACAAAATAACATATAAATTGGAAAAGTAAATGACTCCTAACATCGAAATAAAAATTTAGTGATACAAATTTATATTCATTAAATTTGCTTTATGACGTTACATCAATTCTAAAAGAAATTCAATAACTATAAAATTTATTATAATCAAATTTAAATTAAAATACCCCAACTCAATTTTTTTCCAATAAAATGGAGAAATGGCGAATATATTCTGTTTTTATGATTGATGAGTTATTTGGGATACGACCATATCACACGCTTACTCCCAACCCAACATTCCCTGGTTGAGAGTATAATCTCACTATTATTTTAATTTAACTCGAAACATTTCCCTCATATTTCTTTTAAACATACTTTAAATAAAAATTTTGAGATATAATTATTAATTTAAATCCTTTAATTTTAGCTATTTGATCAAAATCATAAAAATTAAAAACTAATCAATACTAGAACCAAAAAATCTTTTACAAATAAAAACCGACTCCACAATTCCATGTCTCAACCATTAGTTTAGGCCAATTATGCGCAAGAGCTGGCTCATGATTGAACCCATTTCAACTTTTAACACTCCAATCTTATTTGGGAATTTGAAAATAAAAAAATAATTTGTTTATAAAAAATAAATTTATGTTTGAGAAATTTCTCAAAAAAACAATCTGCAAGTAGTTGTTGGAACATAGCCGCTTCCCACTCAGGAAACCTCAACTACATTACACGCAAAGTTGAAAAGAGGAGAAGCTCCTGCCCCGGCACTTCAAGGTCAGCGATCATTTAGGAACGTAGGAAGAAAAAGAAAGCACATTGATAGCAGCACTTTACAATTCTAAATCATTGTATGATGATCAGGATTGAGCTGGTGTTGAACTACAGCAGCAAAGCCATTTTTTCTGCAGTTAAAGAAAAAGAAATCAAGGATTAAAGCCGTGGATCTTAAAGCTCAACAAACAAGGATAAATTTGTGCTGTTAAACCTTGAGTAGCACACACCTCTATTCACAAGCAAGTAAATAAAAAATAAAATCAGAATGGAAGTCAATATAATTAAATTTATGTTGAGATAAATATAATACATGAGAATCAGTCCAAATTTATTTTAGATAAATTTATTTTTTCACTGAAGACATAGACGGCCAAAATTGAAGGTTCCTGAGGAGGCAGGCCAGCACGATTCACTTAATTTTGAGACCAGAAAGTTTGAACATTTATATGAAATATGAAGTAAAAAAAGCTAAAATAATAATATAAGTCATAGAAGACTGAAAGTAACTTTGAAGTTAAAACAAAATTTTGGACAGCACATAAATGAAATGTTGAACCTGATTGTGGCTATATCAAAAACATATGATTAATGTCACGTGTCGTTATGAGAAGTCCCTTCTAACCATAAGCCATGGGCTCGTGTTAGTTGCTCGCACAAATTTTCTTATAATTAAAAATTTGTATCTGTAGCTCTTACACAATCAAGATTAAGAATTGCTTTTCAGGACAAAATGCCACATTAATCACCTAAATTACGTGACTGGTTAATTCAATTTTATCCAAAAATAATAAAATCTACAGTAAGTTTTAACCATAATAATTTTTAAAAAATATATTATAAAGGGCATACAACCGACTTATAATATATATATCTGACAAACTTAACAGCACTTGCAGTAATTTTGGGGCCAAAAGAAAAATTATTATGAAATATAGCTCCTGAGTAGTAATATTAAAACATGAGATCATGAAAAGTCGCTCTTAATCATGGCTATGTTAGGAACTAAAAAAAAAAAATTCAAATTTATAAAATAGATAATTTGCAAAAGTTAAATTTCATAAGCAAGCCAAAAGTTTATGTACTTACAGAGCTATGCTTTGAAGAGGTATATGAAGTTCCCTGTTTGTCAGAAGAGAGATCCTTTGCAGGAGAGTCAGATCCTTGGGCATTACTGCCAGTTTTCCTCTCATCTCTAGCTTTGTTGAAGATCACTGTGAAACTCTCAGCAGAAGAAGGATCATTAACATCCCATTCGCCAAACTTCGGCAGAGGGCGGTCTGTGCTCTGCGAGAAACCAAATGGATTAAAGAAAACGATGTTTATGAGTTTTGAAGTTGGCAGCTATAAGTGAAGATGGTTACAATAAAAAAGTAGATGAGTTCTTTATTGGATTCCAAGGATTTTAAAACAAGGTCGTCTACGAGATAGAACAAATTTAAAAAGAAATGAGTAAAATACTTTAATAGAGGTAAATGACAAAAAATAAAAAAGAAGAAAAAAAAAAGACAGTGAAAACAATAGTGCACCAAGTTAAAGCTAGCACGGGAATCACCATTGATGTTTGGCGTGACAGGAAAACTCCAGCAAAACAGGATAGTAAGTTTACGATCGACTTATTCTTGGAAATTTTTGGTGCGTTAATAGTAAAGCAGATGAAGATTTAAAATTGACGAAAAGAAAAAGTAGGCACAGCACATATGATTAAATTTCACTATTATGTGAATATGAATACAGATGACGGAGGAGGTGAAAACAACAGTCTCAGAGGTGCTGATAGTGAAATACTGTAAAAACTCTGGTTTCAATTGGCAGTGATAACGAGTAATGGCTCAGATTTTGTTAAACAATATCAATGTGTGAAAACGATGGCCTTAAAAATCTGATCAGACCAGCCCATCTGATCAATTCAATAATGAACCAGTTCCCCAACCAGCTCGGCTCAATTTCAAAGCCGATTTCACAAAGAACCGGAAATAATTAACCGGAATTGGCAGGTGAAAAGCTTAATGAACCACCGGATCTAATACTGATCAATTTAGGGTTTTTGATTTTGATCGTATAAATAGAAGTAAGACTTTTAGATTAAAAACAAAAATAAAGTTAAAATATCGTGTCTCAAAATTTTGATTTAGAATCACATAAAATAATTAAAACGTGATGTGCACTTATTTAGAATATTTTATGTTGAATGGATAAAGAATATCATTATTATATCGTTAATAAATTATTTAAATCATATTAAAAGAATTAATTTTATCACATCAATAGGAAAATTAAAACATAATCCTCTCCTTGGAGTTTCATGTTCAGTCTGAAGTTCAAAGCCATGGTGAAGATAGCAACTACAACAGATGGCAATGACGACAGATAACATCCATGGCTGTGGCCTATAGGAGGAGAAACAACACCCAATGTTGAATGTGTATTCACTAAATAAGTTCATGTAATTACGTAGTCTTATAAATTATTCCGATCCATGTTTTATTTTGCTGGACTCCCATTACCTTTTACTTTTTTTTCCAGCTGTAGATTTAACGTGGAATTTTACAAAGCAAGAGATAAGTTATCTTAAATGAAATCAAAACTTTATGCATATGTTTTATAACAACATTTACTATTTCATTCAATATAATATACCAAATTATTCAACTCAATATACAACAACAACAAAGCCTTAATCCCACTACGTGGGGTCGGCTACATGAATCCTTTTTCTCCATTGCGTCCTATTTAGTGTCATATTTTCATTTAGTTCTAGTAAATTAAGATCATTTTTAATACAATAAGCCCAAGTCTTCCTAGGTCTACCCCTGCCTTTCTTAACACAAGTCGAATTTAAAACATCTACTCTCCTAATCGGATCATCTAATGGTCGACGTTTAATATGACCAAACCATCTAAGACGACTTTCTCTAATTTTGTCTGTCACAGGAGCTACACCAACCCTATCACGAATATATTCATTCCGCATTTTGTCTCTAAGTGTAAAGCCACTCATCCACCTAATCATTCTCATCTCGTCAACACTTAACTTATTATTATGCTTCTCTTTTAAAGGCCAAC